AAAAAAACCCCTCACAATTGCACAACAATACCCCCTTCCTCAGTTGTTCTGTTGCTGGTGGAGATCATCTCAAAGCACATAGGACTTTGTCTCCTTTATTCTTCTGCTGGTGGAGAGTGGAAAGGAATAAAACATCTACCTATGTCTCAATAGCCAGATGCAAACCAATGGCATCATCCATTGAAATCTTCATTGTCCCTGAGTTTATCTCAGTAGAGGATGTTCTTGGTCTACATCTGGCTATGGATATATCAAGATGCTTCTCTGATTCCTCTTCTACTCTCCACTAGCAATGGTAGTATGTCTCTGTGTGTGGCTATTAGAGTGTGACAGTGATTCCTAGAGGTGGGTAACAGGGAGCCATATCACAGTTCCATATGCAGAACTCTTAGGCTACACTCAACCATGTAGGATCTCAACCACTGATGCCAGCAAGATCAAGGTCAGAAAGCCCCAGAAATAGGAAGAGGTCCCATACTGAATAACAGATCTTTGTAGGTGTATTGTGATGCCAACTTCCAGTGCCTAGTAGGGATCTATTTCCTACTTCTGTGCTTTCACTTCCTCCTGTCCTCCAGCCTGATAACCATCCCACTTTGGATGGTCTTGGCAAGTGCCTGGTGATGCCAACTCCTGGAGCCAATCCTGACCAATAAGGGTTAGATGATTTCCCTTGATCCACATCATTATTGTTTTGTGGGATCAAATAATCCCGTATCCCATCAGACTTTCTCATAGGCAGAAGAAAATTGTGAAATTTACTCATTGCTTCTTTCGAGAAGAAGGTTAATAAGAATTGCCTCACTCTGTGTACCATTGAGCTTGCTGGGTAGGGTTGACAGAACACAGGCAGAATATCTGGAGGATTAAATATTTCCATCATATAGGGCAATTGCACCCAAAACTAATAGGACCACAGCTCCATCATTCATGAACATTAACCCACCCTAGCTATGATCAATGGGAACCAGAGTTCAACAACATGTGGTGGACCATAGGTTCCCCATCTGATCCATACAAACCTTGAAGATATGCTGCTGCTTTCTCAGATGCCATGGTCTGTGGACTTCTTGAGGCCTCTCCTGATATTTCCCATGAGATAAAAAGAGGGGAATAAAAACACACATTTTAGTCAAATGTTTCTGGCTAAAACTGCTGTTGCTTCTCTTTGTTGACCCGATGAAACTCTCCCAGTTTATTTAGGGAGATTGGCCAAGCTTCTACACCATACTAAGAAGTGCACACCTGGAGAACAGCTTGGGACCCCAGGAAGTTCAGATTTGGACCCATGACCTGATGTTCTCTATTTCTGCATTCAGATATTGCCATTTTTCCTTCCATACCTTCCTCAAAAGAGGGAGGCCATGTGCAGAGCTTGGAAAAGTCCCTTTCTTCAGCTGCCGCTCTCAGAATCTATATTTGCTCAGGCATTCTGGAAACTGTAGGTGTAAGAAAAGAAAAAATAACTTATCCAAGCTCTGGCCTTGTGCCTTGCATGGGTGGGGAGAGGAGACAGTAAACTAATCCAGAAAAAAACAAAAAACCTGAGATCATTACTACAGACCAGAAGCACTGATTCAGCACCGGCCATCAAAATATTTGGCCTTTGCACTACACAGATGGCTTACATCTGTTTTGGTGACGTAAGCCACAATTTTGTCTTAAACTGTTGGAAGCTTGCTTAAATCTTCACGGGTTGCAAGCTGATGCTTGTTTCTCAATTGAAAGTGAGTGACCACTGGCCTCTACTGGCCAGGAATACAAAATTCACATCCCAGATGTTGACGCTGCTCAGAAGATATTAATTTATTTCAATATTTTGCTATGATTGCTCATTTGTAAACAACTGAAGAAAAACAATCATTTTAAGAAATAATCATTCAAAGGTGTTATGTATAATTTGATCACAGAGATACAGTAGTCTCCCACTTACTCAATAGGTTAGGGACCAATGCAACCTGAAAAAGTGAAAATTGTTGAAATGTGCAACCCATGTTACTGTATATAAGGTTATACTCTTGTATACTGGGTGACCTTGGACAAGTCACATGCTCTCTGCCTCAAGGGAAGGCAATGGCAAACCTCTCTGTCTGTATGTCTGTCTGTCTGTCTACCTTCAAGTCACCTGTCGACTTATGGTGACCCCATTAATTTCACAGGGTTCTCATAGAATAAAAATACTCAGAGTTTTTGCCAGTTCCTTCCTCAGAGATATAATCTACAGAATCTGGTATTCATTGGCAGTCTCCAATCCAAATGCTAACTAGGACTGTTTAGCTTCCAAGATCAAACAGGATCCTGAACCAATTTCCTCTTACTTTGGCCTTATGGCAAACCTCCTCTGAACAAATCTTGCCACAAAGACCCCATGATAGGTTTGCCTTAGGGTCGCCATAAATCAGGAGTGACTTAAAGGTACACAACAACAAGAAGTACAAATATAAGTATGAATACCGGCACCATGCTGCACTATAAACACACGATGACACCACGAATGACTTCTACAGTATACAGTACACTGAATGAAAAGATGGCATTGAAATCAGGGGGGAAAAGGCAGTCTGTGGTTGCAAAAGTGTTGCACAAAGGGCCATCTTTTCATTAGGAGAGAGAGAGAAAAAAGAAATTTAGGAGAAACAAAAAAGGACAGGTTCACTCATCAAAATAGCAACGCTGTGAGATGATTCCTATGGAAAGTCTCTTATCAGTCACAGGAAGTAAGGTTGGGCTATGGATGGAGTGGTGATTTGAATCATTGTAAGACAGCTCCATACGTTCATCCAGTGTACAAGAAATGGTGGCACTGGCCTCACATCGACAACAATTATATCTCTGGTATGATTGATTTCATGCTTACTGCTTTCACCTCTCTGTATTCACCCATGGCCATGAATCCCATCATAAAACCCCTTCAATTATCCAGCCAAATATTCATCTCAATTAATTGGTGATTTTTATTTCCAATTTATCCCATGATGATTTATAGCCAAGGAATGAATAAGCTTACATAGGGGTATGTGTACAACCAAAGACCTGCAAGAGCATGCCTGGGTGAATAAAATTGCCTTCAAGTACCTGTAGGTGTTGTGCTAATAGTGTCCTGCTCTCTGCTTAGAGAGAGAAAAAATGGAATGAAGATTTATTGGTTGGTTTTAATAGCTCCAAATCAGCTCAGCAAAGCAAGTTCTGCCATAAGTACCTCATTAATGCTGATGGATTAACTACTTCATGGCAAAAAAAAGTCTGCATCTAAGAATCCGTCCCATAGGAGTGAATACTTCACACATGAAATGAAGACTTTTCATGGAAGTTGAGTTCATTCATCCATAAGAGAGATGTAGGCCAAGATCATGCATCATAGTCTACATTTTGTATCTTTATGAATCCATGGTTACATTGCAGACACCCAACAAAACCGTGTCAGTAAATTGCAATGATACACATCTGGGCACTGGAAAGAGTGCTCCAATGCGCATCAGAAACTTCTGATGCACATTGGGCACTTCATGCAAATTCATCTTATCAGGGTTTCTTGACAATTCAGAAACTGTGATGCCTCCAGAGAGGCTGGCAAATACATCTGGATTTCAAAAGAAAGCCAGCATGTCATAGTGGTTTGAATGTTGGACTATGACTATGACTACAACTCTAGAAACTGGGGTTCAAATCCTGGCTTAGCCATGTAAACCCACTGGGTGACCTTGGGCAAGTCACAATAACTCAGCCTCAGGGGAAGGCAATGGCAAATCTCTTCTGAACAAATCTTGTCAAGAAAATCCCATAATACGTTTACCTTAGCGTCACCTAAGACAATACTATGACAATTCTATGTGCTAGAATATGGCTAAATATGGAACTGATCCCAGATTTCGTCCATATCTTCCTGCTCTTTGGTCCTGCGTTAAGTTAGATCAGCTCCTTACTCTGCTTCATTCATAATGGGTTCAAAGCAAACATGCGTGCATTTTAGGAGGACAATGCTGACACCCTCAATTCCACCCATCTTTTCACCATTTCCAGTGGTAGAGCCAAAAGGCTCATCAAACTCTTGAAGTCTTGTTCAACTACATTGCCATTTTAGATTTCCTCATCTTGGAAAGAAGGGTGACAGTTTCACACTCTTTTGCAATATTGATTGTTGTTGTTGAATCTTTGGCGCTTCGAACAATTGTCAATTAAAACAATGTAATAAAATGTATTCCAGTTATAGCTGACTAAGATCTTAAATCTTTTGTTACTTATTTCATTTCTAGTCTCAACCCTCCCCCCCCCC